CCCCCAAAACCCCAAAACCCCAAAACCCCGTAATATTTCTTAAATCTTGAACTTAAAATATAAATTATGAAAATGGACTCTGAGTTTAAGCAAATAATGTCTTTGAATCCTGAGAAGAGGAACATCAAGCAGATCCATAAGATAGTTGAGAAGTTGAGCCATGTTACCTTCTTTAGTGACTTAAAGAAGGTACATGGTAAGCAAGCTGTCAAAGAGTGTTGTGCACAGCTCACTCTCCAGGTGTTTGAACCAGGGGATAGCATTATTACTTATAGAGAAGTAGGCGAAGAATTCTTCGTCATTCTTGAAGGAAGTGCCAAGGTCTATGCTCCTGTAGAGTTTGAAATGACAGGCACAAAAGAAGAAATTTTAGATTATCATAAACAGAGAGATACTTTGCTTATTCCTTCATCTATTCCCGGAGTAGAAACCTGAGATTTTTATGAAACTAAACATTATGATAAAGATACTGGCATTGGTACTTTCAAGGTTAGACTGCTGAATATGGAATCTACGATAGAAACAGGAATTTCGTTTGGAGAACTAGCTCTAATAAACAATAAGCCAAGATCTGCTACTATTAAGGCTAATACAAATGTGGTCTGTGCTGTTCTTACAAGAAAGAGTTATGAGAAGATAATTAAGCCAATCGAGGAAAAGATTCTCAACGAGAAAATTTCTTTCTTAAAATCATTTCCTTTTCTAAATCATTTATCTAAACAAACTCTGAGTAGGCTGACTTATAAAGTAGAGAAGATCCCGTTCAGCAGGGGAAATACCGTTTATAATGAAGGAGAAAGATCAAAAGGTGTTTATTTGGTGTACAAAGGAGAATTCCAAATTTACAAAAGACTAGATATCTTCAAAAGCAAATAAATATGAAGATTTAGGACATTTTGCCAAGAAAATTGTGAAGAGAGATAATGTACCTCTCGTTACTGTTTTGGAAGGACAATACTTTGGAGCATATGAAACAATGAAGAAGCCTTATATTTGTGAAAACTCTGTTAAATGAATAAGCCCTCAAGGAGAGGTTTGGTTCCTTACTCAGAAGTATATTCTTGAAGAATCATCCTTACTCACGAAGAGGAGGATGAGGGAATCTGGGCAGATGCTTAAAACTATTTATGCTGAGCTCGAGAAGGAAGCAATAGCTGCATCTCAAGTGATTAATAAGCCAAACTTTCATAGTTCTCCAACAAAAGAGGCTCGTCAGAAAACTAAATAAGATAAAAGAGCTTCTGAAAATGACAATGATTGATAAGGTAAAAACATATGAAACTTTAAGAGCATTTCTATCAAACTTCAGTTCATAATATAGTTCTTATTAATCAACTTTAGTACCCAATGAGTCTCCCAGCTGCAATGAAGAATGTTGTGTATGACCTTGAAACAAATAGCAAAGGTATCTGTTAAAAAAATAGAAATTTTCATTGAAACCTTTATTTTTTAAATTGATGAAATGTCTAACTGCTTCACTTAAATAGCCTACAAGATGTTACTAAATAAGACTGACCAAATGGCACAAAATTTTAACTTTATTCAAGAATTAGAAAAGAACTTAGAAGGTATGTTAGCAACGCTAAGCTTAGAAAATGGTGATTTACAGAGAAAGAAAGCTAAAGCATTTTCTCTCACAAGAGCAGAATCAAGCCCAAACTTTCTTTTTACTAACAAATCTCCTGAGAATTTGAGCAATATCACAAATGAGATCAGCATGATCAAGAATTCTATCGTTGAGCAAGACAGGAGGAGAAGTATTTTATCACTTATTTTGCAGCATTGGCTAAGAGTAGACTAAACCAGCCATTTTCAAGGAATGAGAGTAGTCTTCAAGAGAGCAATACTATGAATAAGCTTACACATAGAACAAATACGCTTACTAAAATATTTACAAGGGATGGTGAACTTCCTTTACTTCACAAAAGAACAGAAACTTTTACTAAGAGTGGCAAAGGAAGGGAGAAGAAAGGAATTCAGGTATTGTCTGAGAATTATACAACTACAAGCTTTCTAATAAGTATCATAATTTAAACCTTGTTCGACAGATCAACACAATTGCTCCTGGTTCTCATGACACTAAATGGATAACCATTAGTAAGGGATTTTGTTATTCTTAGACCAAAATGAGGTGAAAGCTACTCCAACTACTTCAAGGAATTTTTCAAATATTAAATATGAAACAGATACAGTCGAAAATACAGACGCTTACCAGCATTTTATGATGAAGGCTAAAGTTATCAAGAGAGCAAATAAAGGATTTAAGTCAGCAAGAGAGATGGTCGGTAGAATAAATAACGACGCTTTAAGGAGCTGTAAGTTTTTATAGTTACTCTATAGCTCTTCTATCAACTCCAGTCAAGATGGAGCATCCAACTGATATTTTAAGCCCAATGTTTAGTGAGGGATCAATCGAGTCGGTAAAAGTTTCAACTAGTCTTTAGCAGAAGCCATCTCCTCCTGAAGTAGTAACTAATATCGCATTTGAAAATGGCCCAATGCTGCAGTCGAGAAGATTGTGATTCAGTTCGGTACTTAGCTCAAAGAAACTATTCAAATCAAAACATTAACTTCTTTAATATCTGATGATTGCTTTAGATTTATTTTTAAATTCAATACGTTTGATTTGTTAAGGGGTTTTGGGGTTTTGGGGTTTTGGGGTTTTGGGG